TAAGTAGTGTCGACGTTGAGTTGCTGTTTGTGATCAGAGTTTGCCAAACTTTATTTGTAGTCAAAATATCAGGCAAAATGATCGAAATTCATGTACGGTTTACCAACAATTGGAACTTCTTTCGACTGCTATAAGAGCCAACTTTATTTTTTGTCGAAAAATTGTTGTCTCCTAAGATAAATACGCTTGAGATTAATTTAAATCCCATAATCTCCTGAGAAAACAATCCTTATTCGAAGATTATAATCAAATATCTCATTTTTATTCAGATTTATATGTAAAACCGATCATAATTTTCACAGCTGATTCAAATACCGGTCTAATAAAAATCTGATTGAGAATTTTTAAAAGGATTCTAATTGATTATTGATGTATGATCCAATTGTATGATTTAAAATCGAAGTCACTGTTATCGTTTATCCGAGTTTAAACTATTGGATCAAGAATAATAGGTGAGAATAGTGAAATTCTAATTAAGTATATAGAACACTGTACAGTCATTAATTTATAGTTGTTGACCCAAACATTATGTATTTGACTTTCAATAACTCAGTCGAGTATTACACTACAATATCCATCAGTGGCTTACATGCACTGGTAAGTTTTATATTATTAGCCAAAAACATGATTCTTATTTTTGAAAAAGAGCATATGTAAGAAAAGTAATCTAGATACAATTGACTTTTATTCTTTTTTGACTAATTCAAAATTCATCACACGTAACTAAAGTAGTAGATTAAAAATCATTTAAGCTTATTATGAATATTTTACGAGTTGATAATCAATTGTACTCATGAGAAGCTTAACGTAATATCTGTAAGAACAAAATTTCACTTGTAATATTCTATTTCTATGCTCAATTTGGCTAGAAAAGCATAGTTCATCAATTAAAATTGATTAATTATTTTAATAGATTATGCTCAGTAAAAACACAAAGAGATATAACGTAAGGATAGAGTTCATATATAGGACAATATTTTTCGATAATAATTTTAACTTCACAAGGACGACTATTTGATTATAGTTGATTAAAATTTTTATATTAAATTTAATCAATTCTGTTCACCACAAGCTCAACATCATCGTTCGATAGTACCTTAACGCGTGTCAAAATTCAAGTAGTTATCTTTTACTTTATTAAAAGCACTAATATCTATTGCTTCATGCAAATTTCAGCAGCGCTCAGGATTTAGTAACCAAAATCGCTCAAAAGAAACGAATATTCGAGTAAGATTGACATATCAAATTATATGACAAAAAAATATCCCTACCAAGACTAAATTATAGTATTGATTGCGTCCTAGTAAAATTATTTTCGATTACTAATGTCAAGATGGTATATTATTCCATTATGAACTTGATCAAGCGACAGTATTTCAGCTCTTCATGCTCACAGTTCTGCTCAGTATGCTAAAACATTCACGTTATGGCATTAGAGATTGTTGATTTCTTTTATTTCAGATTTGTAGACCATGAAAAATGATAGAGATCTGTCTCAACAATATCAAATAAACGGAGAATTACTTGTACTAGTTATATTCACGATGCTTAACTGGTAAGGAAACTGTTCCAAAGGAGAAGAAGTTTTACAGGCGCGACATTCTTCATTAGACAAGATCTATGGAGACTATAGCAACGTTGCAATCGATCACATCATTTAATCTCTATTCTTGAGTTATAAACATTTTACTAATTTTTTGGTCTATACTAAGACTAGATTAAATTACCTGATATTTTGACTAATATATTTGATAATAAGTAATGAAACAACTAGTAGAAAATGTTTTCAGACTAAAAGCTTTAAGGAAAGATAGACACGATTTCTCATAATTCTCGTTGTAATTAAGCAATCGAGGACGATCTTGTGCTTCTGAACTAAATTTTTAGTGCAGTATTTCAGACTTGCAGCATGTATAGTAGCCAAGATACTAATGGTTAGAAACTTTAGTCCAGTACTGTATGTTTTCATCTCGAGTTACAGCATTCACCACGAATCACATATTTTTATTAAGAGCTAGAAAATCGTAGCTTTTTCAAGAATCTAATGCATCTAGATGAAAAATATGATTTAACTAAGATTTTCAGCGCATTGTAACAATACTAAAGTCTTTTACAATGCAAAATTTTAGATCGAAATTCAAACATTCGATTTCATAATGCTTTTATCTTTACTTAGCTCTCAGTAGATCATATCTAATGAAAACATATTCACTTCAAAAATTTAATTTCATTCGAGAAAATTCCTTCCTATGGTTATCAGTTAATAATTAAGCCTGAAAAATCAAAACTTCAGACATAATTGTAATAATCAAAGTTATGCGCATCAAAATAGATGTCTATGAAAATGGAATTTTTTCTGTCTATTTTAGTTGATCATATTATAATCTGATGATAATTACTCATAATCTGACTTTAATGAGATTTAATGTTGATTTTATTGCCAAATAATCGGATTTGTGATTTCAATTATCACCATAAAATTTTGAGATTTTAATAAATTTTAAGCGAACAATTTTTTCACTGTGTAACAGCTTTCTTTTCCTAATTAGCAAGCTTTCATAAAATAGCATAGTGGAAATTCTTTATTTATTAGAAATATTTTCTTTTTCTTTCTCAATTTTTGGTGATATCAAATTGACACAGTCAGAAAAATAATGATCGTTGAAATTTTTTTTATAATCATGGCTGTTCGTTTCGCTTCTTGCTATCTAATAACTATTACATTTTCACTATTGGTCATTATAATCATTGTAAGTCATTGTCATTCTCAATGCTGGCCTATTTTTAATCTTTTAACCTGTAATCCTTGTGTTAATCATCTTGTTTAGACAATTAGTTTTTGTATTCAATTTTCATTATTAATACAACGTACTTCTTCTAATTCAGAGAATATGAATAAATTTTCTTACAAGATCATTGCTTATTTAGGAACATATGGTGCTACAGCTCTATCGTATTCCTCTATGATTCATGCAAATTCTCGCTTTTTTATTACACTTTTTTTACAAACACCGAGTTTTTCTTATTTATCGTTTTAATTGGATGATGATTAACATGAGTTGGATAATTAGTGGAGTGATTGCTGGATGTTTGCTCATATCACCAGTAGTTTATCAATATGAAAATGAATCTCGTTCATGTACGCTTACAAGAAAAAATTTTCTCATATCATTTCTAGCTATCATCATCATTTTTATAATTCCAATAACTACTCTCTGTGGAATTATTATTTCGCATATAAAACAATATAATCATATTGATCTGCATAGTAGAAGTATACTGCGAATGAAGAGAAACATGAAAGTATTTTTAAATATATTTTTATTTATACAAGTTTTCTTCGAATTGGTGGTTTTAGTCTCTATTATATTAAATAGTATAGTGCCAATCCCATGGCTATTATACCCAATTTCACTTTCATTCATTATATGTATTTCTAGTTAGAATAAATCAATTTGTGGTGTATTGTAATGAAACAGGGAGAATTGAAATATTGCCGACGATCAGTTAATTTTCTATAGTTGACATCGTCTATCATATACCTATGTCTTTTCATTTATGTGTATGAATGCTACTACGTAGAAATAAATATGTTGAAAATGCCATCTGCCTATGTTTACTAAGAAAAGAGAAATTAAAATTTCTAATAAAGAATAAAAAAATTCGTACAAAAATGTCTCTCCGATATATTTAAAAATGTTTTAGACAAGATAAAATTAGATTTTCAGAATATAAAATATAGAAAAATTTGTCTGATCTTATGTTCAGAAAAACTTATATGATAGATAGATCTTTGAATAATATGATCATTGTTTAATCAGTACGAGCACAAGATGTTCATCACGACCTGAAACCTATCACTGCCGCGACAAACTAAAGGTTTGAATGTTGGTAGATGACGATATAGTTGAAGAGAAGGCTCGCACTTATAGCGATGTCCACATGCCGTCGTCTGACTTCTACTGGCTGTGGTATAAAATGGATATTGCATGCCAAAAAAAACCTATTTGGTAGAAAACATTTTTGATTGACAATTATTAGAGAGATATCTCAAGCCAAACCTGTCATAGTAATTCAAAATTTTTCTGAATAAATGACGAATGGATCGTTATGTTTATAGCTTCTCATCTGCTTGTTCCAAGAGTATTCAAACAAGTAAACACTTTCTCTGACTTTTTCGTTTATAATGTTGACGAAGCTTGTCCTGTAGTTAAATCTCATCTGGTTGAAGACAAGAGTCTACAGATAAATATTCTTTATCAATATGACGGTTTTTTCTGTGCACGTAATGTCAGAATAAACCAACGACATTTTTCTCGAATAACGGCAGTAAACTTTATCAACATCAATGGATTTTTCCCTAGTGCGCGTCTACACACCGAAACAGAAAAGAACTTCATGTGTATGAAGTATGTTATCGTTTTTTTTAAATTTACAATATTTTTTTGTTATATAATGTGAAGAGCATGATAAAAATCTGGATTTTATTGCGTGCTTTATCGCATCTGCGTCAACAAAAGACAAAAAGGAAAATAAACTCTTGCACAACGTCAATACAATGCCCATTGTAGATGTTTCTTGATGATACACAATGCAACTATATTTCTTCATGTGACGTGTTCTTCAAGAATCATGGACTCTTAATAAAAAATTGTCTTACAACATTACTTTCTAGAAGTTTCGTCTTCGTATTTCTCAATAATCAATCTGTAGTGTCTCAAAAAGTTGTGAACAGTAAACATCCGAAATTCATTGTTCGGAATTTGACAAAAAGCTCTCCTAGTGAAATAGATGAGTATAACTCACATTGACTATTGACATTTCCCTTCGTTAGTGCTAGGTACCATTTCAGATATATATTCATTGTCTTTTCAGTCTACTTATCTCTTATCTGTACGTGAACATGTATACGCATAGCTTTTCTTGCTTGTTTCTCTCTGCTGTTGTTTTTTGCCTACTCAATCAAGTGTGACTTTTCTTTAGATTTTTATTTGATCCAGATGTCAACACCACCGATCGGATCCGATGGCGATGTGAAAAAAGATGAACTACAAAATGACGATGTGAAAAATGAAGAACTTCAAAGTGGGGATGAGATAGAAAATGAACTACAAAATGGAGATGAGGTACAAGATGAAGTACAAAACGAGGATGAAATAAAAGATGAACTACAAAACGACGATGGAAAAGAAGACGAACTACAAAATGAAGATGAGATACAAGATGAACTACAAAACGACGATGGAAAAGAAGATGAACTACAAAACAATGATGAAGCAAAAAATGAGGCAGCTGATGTTGCAGTTTCACATAAACCTATTACTACGGATTCTGCAACTATTCGTAATTCATTGACTTCGTCTTCTATCACATTTTACGTACTACGTCACGCTGAACCAAATCATGGCTGGAAAATTCAAGCCCTGTTTGATAATGATATCAAATTTGATTTTGAAAGCAGTAAAGCTCTGAATGTTGAAGAGGTTAGTTGATTCATAGTTTCTTAGATTCAAGATAAATTCTTCAATTAATTGAATATTGATTAGAAAATTTTTTAACACAACATTGAAATATTGTTTGTATTTTAGTGGAATGCAAATAAAAATGAAAAAAGTCCATTTCTCTATCAACTTCGATTGAACGTTCTTCTCAATGATAGGGGAGAAGTTTATATTCAGCAGAAAAAGAAAAATCGTAAAATTCAATTATATCAACTTCGCATATCAGCACCAGGATTTACCTACACGTCCCATTATGAGGAAGATTTGTTTCGTGATATCATAGTTGGTCCATCGACGTCGCATCAATTTTTATTTGACACTCGTTTCAATCGCGGACTCTTGTCCATCCCTCCTGGTAAGAAAGTATTACACTCTTATCTATTTCTATAGAAATAATATTTTTAGGCAGTAGCATACCATTTTTGGATCATCTATGCATTTTTACTTACTTTCTTCTGAGCACACAATCGTACGACAAAGTTGACTCACTTTTTGATCAATTTGCGGCTACCTTAGAAAGTCGTAAAATCATCATTTCGCGCGAAAGTTTGAAAATATTTTTCAGTTTGTGCTATAAATATTTATCAACAATCGAAAATGCCCTCAAACAAGATCTTGATGCGCTCAAAATTCTTATTCGGATGATTGGTCTTTTATCTATAAGTCGAGAAAATTTGATTTTCGACCAAGCAGCTTCGATATTTGCATCAATTATTCTCAAGAATTTATGCGACAAGCTTGACGCTGTCTTGACAACAATTAATGAAAATGACTGGACATCTTTTTGTCAAGGTTTAGTAACACTAATTTGCATTAAACTACTTCATCAAGGAAATGAAAATGAAGCAAGTAATACTATTGATTTACTCTCAAGAATGCCCGAAGGACAACAACGAAAAGATGCCGTATTGAAATTGCTTGATTTATTCTATGAGTTACAATGTAGATTATCAAAAAACAAAGTAATGGAGCTGTATACATTAGTTGAGCCCGATGATCTCGCACTGAAATATCTCGAATTAGCTGTTTCAATTGAAATTTATATTGATTACCTTACTTATTTTCTCAAAATTCGTGAAGATAATATAAATGACTTCCAAGAAAATATAAAAGATCAACTTGATAGACTTCTTGAAAAAAATTACTTCCCTAGTAAGTAATTACGAGAAAGTGGGAGAAAAAAAAACGAATATTTTTTTTTTCTAATTTCTTTTTTTAGTTACGTTATTCGATATAGCATTTATTCTAACTTATTTGAAACAACAAACAGACAACAAGTCAATCCAACTAATTCAATCTGTTTTCCAGACAAATAATACATTACGAAGTAAGATTGAATCAGATTTAAACAGAAGAAATTATAATATTTCCACGAACGAGTTTCCTCTCATTCGTGATATTATGATTCGTTCGTATAATTCATTTTTATTACACAATATTAATCGTCAACAATATCTTTTACGAACACTCAATCGTCGAAATGATCGAACAAGTGATTATTTTCTCTCTTGGTTCGAATGTTTTCTCTGTGAAATAGATGAAGATTGGATTAATTATCAAGAATTAACACGTCAATGGACAGAATGTTTTGTTACCAATAAAAAAATGTTATCCGAAGTTATGGAAAAAGTCGATTCACTTATCGATCTGTGGACGAAAGTCGCACCAAATAATAATCAACGTTCAAACTTTTTTGTAACACATATGGTTGCACAATGTTTCCGACAAGGTAAAACCGCGATAGCTAGGCAGTTAACTTTCATGTTTTATTTTTCAACAACTAGTAATTTCATAGAATATTTTCCATAGAAAGCAAGTATCATCATGTGTTCTTTCATAAATAGTTAAAAGTTAGAAAATCTAAAAAAAAAAATTCTTTTTAAAAAAGTCTATCACGTCATATTTTATAAGCAAAAATATAGTCCATTGTTACGTTCTTTATACTATATGAACAGATGAACGATATTTTGTGCTCTTGTTATTTAAACGTCCAGTTCTAGTTTTTCAAGTTTGTCTAATTATGCTGAGTATCGAATCTGTTATAGATGAGATCGATCTTAAATTCACTCGTTATTGATAACTAACGTGAGAACTTTTCGAGCTGATATTTTCTTCATATGTTAAACTTCGGAAGATGAGAAAAAGCCTAGAAGATTAAGTTTGAGAGGAAGCTTTTTATTGCGTTATACACCTTTCCTTTTTGAAAATTTTAGTTATAGTCAGACACGAACTACATTATTGTTCAGTCTCATGAATTTTATCAAATTATGTACATTCATTATAAGAGATTTCATATTCTATTGTAGAGAACGTGAACGATCTGTTGATGAGTGCTCTACGTACAGTAAACAATGAAAAATTTCTTGAAGCTTTTGAAAAACAATATGAAAAAGACAAATTAGCCAATGTCAAGGGACGTCTAAGGGATTTATACGATCCGATAAATCCCTTATTTCAATTAATGAATATCGCTAAAGAGCAAAAGAGACAAAATAAACTTGTAGAAAATCTGATTGCTCTTGCTGCATCTATGATCGAAATCAAAGATATTGAAATTGTTAATGATACTTTCAATCATCCATCCCGTGATACGTTTATCTATGCTATTCTATTCGATGAATCGTTCAGTTCATTATCAATTCATGAAACAATTATTAATCGTTTGAGTCAACAATGGATGAAATGGGAACAAGGAAATATTCTTGCCAGTGATGTACGAACATGGGAAAAATTTTCCGGTGAACAAAAAGCTATTGTTCATAAAATATGGTCTTTAGTAGCTCAAAAAACAGGACAACAAGATGATATTGATTTAGTATTCGATGTTTCACGTAATGCTTTGAAAAGGAAATTAGAAACAAATGATAAAGTAATTACATGTCTCAATACTTATTGTCAAGAGGCAATTGATAAAGAGAAATATGATGATATTGTCAAAAATTGGCATGAACGTTTTGAACTAGAAAATATTAATTCAATTGATATACCATCCGATCTATCCAATATTGTTCCACTTGCCGAGCAACTCAATCCTTATGCAACAGCGATTGCTTGGAGAACTTATCTCGATCAACAAACAAGGCCAAGTAGTAAAAATCGATCAGTAGGAAGACGAGATCTTAAGGAGTCGATCGAACGACAACTAAGTGAAGAAATGGAGGATGACACTTGGTCACAAGAGCAAGTGTTGTCAGCAGGTACGACTGATATTTTTTTTTTTGACAAAAAATTGTCACAAAGATTTGTTTTTTTTTGTTCTTTTTTATCGCATCTACAGATCAAATCCCAGATAAAACTGACAAATCAACAAATGAAACGGTCAAAATTGAATGTCTGAGGATACTTCAACAAGCCGTTACAATTCTTCAAGAATTTGAACAAATATTAAAACATATATGTGAAAAAGGACGTCAAGTTCCCATTGAAAATATTCTTCGCTTATTTTCTGACATTGGTCATGCTGAAAGTGATTTGAAATTGTTAATACCGTTGCTAAATAAGGAAACTCTACCATTACTTCTTTCCGTTACATCATTTTGGAAAGATCATATTCGTATTCGATATATATGTACGGGTATTATGAATTTGAGTACGAAAATTTCTGGTAATATCGATTTAAATTTCTTGCGTAGTTTACGTTCTATTAATGAACAAACATCAAGTGAAATATGTTTTTCAACATATGAACAATATCGAGAACAATTCGAAAAGAAATGTTCGGTCAATATTCTTACATTACTCTCTTACTATGGTTCATCATGGGATTTATTCGATTTTCTTGATTCACTTACGGCTGATGATGTTTATAATTTACAAGAAGCTGTCAATGATTGGGATGAAACATTGGTGAATACGAAAACAATTTTTGATTTTGCTACAGTGAAAAATTTTCTCGATCGTGCCAATACAGCTATGACAAATAAACAAAAACAATTGAATGTTACCTCATTATCATTTGAACATATAGTCGAATGTTTTGAAAATACATGGAAAAATAATCAATTTGATGGTCTTTCCAGATGTCTTGAATCATCAGCTTTGTCATTAGCAAGTATCAAACGTATTCATTTAGAATTAACCGATAAAGAACAATCGAAACGACGTCGAATAGCTGATATTCTACAAAAATCAAATATTGATTTTGTTCGAAGCGGACATCATGAAACAACATTTGATATTGATGTTGAACTTCCGAATCAACAACAACAAACAACAATGAATGATGAACAAAAAGAGCAAAAAATTACATTTGCCGATTTAAGTGAACTTCGTGATCGTGCACGTTTACTCGAATATTCCAGTAATGTACAAAAAGCTGATAATAATGAACGTGATGTAGACAAATTACGTAATTTTATTCAATTTGTCAGTGTTGTTGAGACAACTTTAGAAACTCTAACAATCTTATACACGACTGGTCATCCATCCGTTTCAAAATTTCTTATTCCAGAAAAACAATTTCCATGTACAGATGGAAACTATGATGAATTAAAAGAAAATAATACGATATTAAGTGATTTACTTGTTAATTGGGAAAAGAAACTGTTTGTTATGTATGAAATACATATTGATTTAACATATTTTACAAGTGATCAATTTTGGCTTATTGAAGATTATATTTACAATCCATCATCGGTATGTCATCCTGGTTATCATCTTCTCAGATTTATTGATATTGATCCAAAATTAATTCCAAAACCTGACAAACAACCAAATACACCAGAAGATCGTCTAGAAAATCTTGGTAATCTACTTTCGAAACTACGACAAGAAGTTTTTTATCAAAAAGAAAACTTGAAAAATGAGAAAATTCTTCTTGTTGAAACGACAAATGAAGGTATTCTTCGTGCTATTCTATCTCTATTTCAAAAAATAAACATTCAACCACATATTCGTCACCTCTTCTATTGTACAACACGAACAAATTGGATAGAAATTCGTGGATTTATTTATCGTTGTTTTTATTCACAATCATTTCATCAACTCATACGACCTGAACTTCTTTCTCAATCAATTCAAGATCAATTTGTTCGTTTACTACGTTCATTAATGAAAGAGAAACCTGATCAAAATTTTCGAATTGGTATTATTACGACAACTAATATGAGAAATCAACAACTTATCAATGGACTTCGATCGATGCGTATTGTCGATATTCTACGTGATCAAGATTTATTAAATAAAACAGATTTTCAAAAATTAATTCAAGACATGAATAAAAATTGTATACTTGTTACATCAAGAATAACTGGTCTAGGAAAATCGACTATTATTCGTCAGGCAATAGAAAAATCAAATAAAAAATATGTGAAATTTCCAATCTATGGTGATTTTGATGTTGATACATTGGCTGAACGACTTCGTTCGAAATATTCTCAACTTCAAACAGGAGACATTCATCTCGATATTGGCACGACTGCTAATAGTCAACAATTGAATGAAATTCTTTATTGTTTACTACTTTTTCGAAATTTTCGTTTTGGATACGTGGCTGTTTCAGTACCGGCCGAGACGATTGTGTATATTGAACTTGATGCATCACCTGATGCAACTCTTAATGAATTACCATTATTTCAACATATAACTCCATCGATAATTGTCGAAAAAGTCGATTGGACAAGTCTTAATATAGGAAATAAAGAAATTCAAGCTGTAGCAAATTATTTGAAAGCTATCGACACTAAAGCAATTATGAAACAGAATGTCAATTCATCAATGTTTCAAAATTTGGATGTAAAAACATGTTCTCGTCTTATTCAAGGTCCATTTCTTCCAAAAAAAGATGATAATTACATAACATGGACTCAATTATCGATTTTTGTTGCCGTATTTCATCGTTTATTTACAGGTTTTTCACATTGTGGTTATTTCTTAGTTGAATCAGTTCCAGAACCACAACTTCGTTTGGATCTTGTTCAAATACTTCTTGAATCATCAAATCAATTTACTTCACTCTCAGTTGAAGCTGTTCGTAAACAACAACGATCAGCTACAAGTGGCGAACCGACAACATTCAGTGATGCCATTGTTCGATGGGATACAATTCAACCGTTTACATTAGTTTTCACGGTAAGTGATGAACCACTATTTGTCTACAAGAAACCGACCGATGTACCTCAAGCACTTGTCAAATATTTCAAATTTTACTATCAAGCATTAGGACAAAATTCAATTATGCAAACTACAATGTTTCCAGATTATATCACCCTTGGGCATGATAAACTTTTTCTCAAATTAGCTTCACTCTCACGTAAATATTTTAACAAATCGATTTGTCCGAAATGTTTTAGACAATATGATATTAAACAACAAAAATGTGATAAATGTTTGAGTAAAGATATTCTTATGCGACCGAAATCATTCGATCATAAAGATGTCGAACAATTTCAACTTGATATAGCAAAAAAACTTGAAACTGATTATGTTCTTACACCAGATAATTTTATTAAAATGCTTCTTATTTATATGCGAGTACAAAGTGGTATTCCTGTTTTGATCATGGGTGAAACAGGATGTGGAAAAACATCATTAATTCAATTTTTATGTCAAAAAGTTCTCGATGAAGATCTAGAAATATTTCGTATTCATGCTGGTGTCACAGCTGATATTATTATTAATAAAATGAACAGTTATATTCAAAAAGTTCAAACATATACTAATAAAGAAAAAAGTTTATGGATCTTTTTCGATGAATTTAATACAACACCAAATATTGGTCTTCTCAAAGAAATTATGTGCGAACGAACATTACTCGGAGAATCATTGCCAGACAAGATGGTTTTTTTGGGTGCATGTAATCCTCGACGACAGAAGACAGCAAAAATTCTTCAGAATGATAATGTTCATGTTGGATTACGAAAAAATCGTTATGAAATGCAAAAACTTCTTTGGGCAGGTACCGATCAACGTCTTTTATATACAGTCGTACCAATTCCAGAAACCATGCTCGAATATATTTGGGATTATGGTTATCTGAATGAATCAACAGAATTAGCTTATATAAAAACAATGTTAAACATATGTCAACATCTTTCAAGTGTTACAATTTTGTTCGATCTTGTTGTTAATCTTCTTGTTCAATCTCAAAATCATTTTCGTCAAATTGAAGATGCAAGTAGTGTAAGTCTACGAGATATTGCTCGTTTTTGTCGTCTTTATAATTGGTTTCTTAATTCGTTAATTCAACGAAATGTGAAAGATATATTTCAAAAACCATCTGAGGTTATTATTCGTCGAGCGAGTTTAATTGCATTAATGCTTTGCTATTATTTTCGATTACGTTCTGTAGAACTACAGAATACCTATATCAAGAAAATGCAATCAATTATAGCAACCCAATATCCAAAGGTAGCCGATATGCCTGATTATTTGACAACTTATATTCTTCAAGCTGAACAAAAGAAATTGATTGATGACCGAATGGAAGTACCACCAAGTACCGCTCGAAATCGAGCACTTCGTGATAATGTTTTTGTTCTTCTTGCTTGTATTGTCAATCGTATACCATTATTTTTATGTGGCAAACCTGGAAGTAGTAAATCATCGGCCGTTCAAATTCTTATTAGTAATTTAAAAGGAAAAAAATCCAAAGATCCATATTTTCAAACATTACCTGAACTTGTAGCTGTTTCATTTCAAGGTTCACAAAATTGTACATCGGAAAGTATAGTAAAAGTTTTTGAACGTGCTTCAAAATATGCTGGAGTTCGAAATGATTCTGAAATATTGCCTGTAATTGTTTTTGATGAAATTGGTCTTGCCGAACTTTCTCCACATAATCCACTCAAAGTTTTACATGCTGAACTTGAAGTTGACAATAGTAAATATGGTTTTGTTGGTGTATCAAATTGGCGACTTGATGCATCGAAAATGAATCGTGCACTCTATCTATCAACACCAGATCCAGATGTTAAAGATTTGCAACTTACAGGTTGGACTATTGCTCGAAGTATGCAACAACAAGCTGAAGGACCAATATTTCAACTTGAAGAATTCATTATAAATAGTCTTTCTCGAGCCTATTATGATTTATATGAACATCTAAAAGAAACTCAACCTGATTTTGAAAATTATTTTGGTCTTCGAGATTATTATTCTCTTATTAAAGGTATTGCTCGTGATACAATAAATCTAAAAGATGATAATAATAAATTGTATGAAATTATTCGAAATCAACTTAAAATCAATTTTGATGGTATTTTTGATGGTTCAACATTTTTATGGCAACAATTCTGTAATTATATCAACAAACAAAATCTTATTACTGAATACACATGTCCTCCATTCAATTATCTTCTCGATCAAACTCTTCGTACTCGTTCAAGTCGATATCTAATGCTTATTGCTGATAGTGATGGTGTAATTGATTATGTCGAACGTTATATTAGTGTTCATCAACAAAAACAAAAAACAATCGTTCGTACAATTGTTGGTAGTTCATTTTCTGGTGATCTACGTTCGGGAAATACTTATGCCGAAGATTATAACTATCGAATTTTAATGGATGTTATACTTTATGCTGAAACAAATATTACTTTAATTATGCGTCAAATGGGTCATCTCTATGATAATCTTTATGATTTATTTAATCAAAATTTTGCTATATCAGCAAGAAAAAAATATTGTCGTATTGCTTTAGGTGCACTTTATCATCCACGTTGTCTTGTTCATGATGATTTTTATTGTGTAGTTTTTATTCATAAACGTGATTTAGATCAATGTGATCCACCATTTCTTAATCGTTTCGAAAAACATATTATCGATATTCAAGCATTAATACATCCACGACATTGGTCATTATCTCGACAATTATATACATGGCTTGATAATTTCTTACCGAAAAATCTTGGTAATCATTTTCCTCTTTTACAACATTTATTTGTTGATCATGGTCAAGATCAAATATGTAATCTTGTTATTGAAGCATTTGAACAACTGAACATATTAACAGATGAAGAAGAAAAATCTGAGAAAATTCCAGAAATTATTAATTATTGTCAAGAAAAATTACTTCATACGAGTTCATTCGATTTACCATTGACTCTTTCGATACAATCAACTCCTGAATGTCAAAATTTGATTCAAAAATATTATGACATACGTCAACCATTAACATTTGGTAAACTCATCGAACAATCTCTTGAAAATGTAACTCCTTCTCTTCAAATTGTTTATACATATACTCAAATCTATCATACAATTGATAATCTTCCAAATGATGTCGAAGAAGTTAAATTGAGTGCATTTCGAACAGAACTTGAATTAGTCAGAAAAGTAAAACGTCATTATCAAGCATTAACAAATATTCGTCTTCTCTTAATTCGTGTGGACTATCATGGTGAACATCAACATATTCTCTCACTAAAACATGTTATACAAAATGAATGTGTATCATCCAGTGATCGAACTGTTTGGCTTATATTTCATTTACAACGTAATCTAGTCAATCAAGTAACTAATGATGTTTTGTTTAGTGGTTGGTTAATAGATATGATTGATAATCTCAATGATCGACAGCTTATTTCCAAAGAAGTACTGACTAATCCTTCATATCATAATCTTGTTCTTCAACAAGAATTTCGTCTATCTGAATGTGTATTCGATGGAGATGTTCATCAATGTTTAACGAAGTTTAACTTATTTGATAACATATTTGATGAACTAGTTGATCGATGTTTATCAAAATTTCGCTACATAAATTTTCAAGCAAAAGATGAAGAATATATCAGCGAAAGACGTTATATACTCCTTCAACATATTATTGAACATCGAAATAATTCAACACCAAAAAGTCTACATCTTCGTTCGATTATAATCAAATATTTGATGATATTAATTGAAAAACTTCCAACACCTGATAAAACACGTTTCGTTGATTGGAGACTTGATATATTAACAAATGCTGTTACTATTGCAGCGTCGCGTTCATTTGATGATGCTTTTCAAGTGACAGTTTCAATGTTTTATGAAGCCTATCTTTCACTTCTTTTGGCTCATCTTGAAAAATATCAACTTTTCGATGCTTATATCTTTCTTGCGAATAGTCAAGATGATAATATACAAGATAATTTGTCTAAATTATGGATAGACTCATTAAAAGCATCATTAGAAACTATTGATGTAACAGCAATGAATCTTGACGTAATCGATATTTCATTTATTTCCGGCCTTCAATTACCTTGTGCAGCAGTTGAATTTGAAAATATTCGATCTATTCGAAAGAAATTTCAAGAATTACAAGAAAATGATAATGAATCTTCATCGGATGAGTATGATTCTCGTCTTGATCAAATGCATACTTCAAATATTTATGATGATAAATTTTTACAACTTATTTTCAATGATCAAACATGGTTTCAATTATATTTTCATGATCAAATAGCAATGCATTTAGCTGAAGTTAAAATTCAACTTTCGACTGATTTTGTTGTTGATTTATTAACAAGTAATCCAACACGAACAATTAAACAATATAAACGATTATTTCTTGTTGAACATGTTGAATTAACAGAAATTCTTCGTTTATTTGAAATTAGTTTACAATTAATTAGTGAAGAACAAATTCGAAATATAATCAAAGAACAATGGATTGAAATTCCACCTAGTATAATACAATCTTCAGAATTCTATACACTTGTCTTAATTAATAGTGAACAATTCTATCAATTACCACCAAAAACTAAAACTCTTGAACAACAATCGATATTCGAATGTCGAGGTGATCCTATGATTGAAACAAGTCTAATGAATTTAATTGAACTCATTGTTTCACCATCTGTTATTCAACAAGCAAAAAATATTCAACAAATAACAACAACTTATAGTTTGATTGCACAAGGCATTCGTGATCTAGATTCATATGATGTTAATAATCTAGAAAAACTTCGTTCATTTCTTAGTTTTATTCGTTGTCTCACTACTCTACTTCCTCACAAAGCTCTTGATGTTCTCAAAGATGTTTGTATGAGTGGTTTCGATGCAAAATTTCATTCATGTTCAAGTATTCATTATTTTATTACTCAATTACAAGACCGTATGAAATCAGAACAATCAACTGTCGATGAAAATATAATACATCGAGCATTAGTTAAACTTGAACTTGACTTTCTAAAAGATTGGTTAGCTGATAATGGTGATTCATATGGTGAAATTTTAGCACTTATAAATGATGGAAATAATGATCTATGGTTTTATTCAGCAAAAATCTTTACAATTATTGATAATAAACTTGATTTAACATCAACATTAAAAGAAAATCATGGTAATCTTCCATCAACTGATGAATATCAACAATTGAATCAATCTCTCGAAATGCCAAATACTTCTACACGTAAAATTGAACGATTGATGGTCAATCGACTTCATATGCATTTGATGTTGAGTGTACAAGGAAATGAAATTGATCAACAACTTACTGATGAATATGAACATTTTGTTGAAAATGTTCGTAAAATTCAAAGTAATAAAAAATTAGATGTTGGTCAAAGGATTTCATTACTTGCATGGATTAAATATTATGCACAAATGTATGCATTTGCTTTGAATAATGATAGTCGAGAAGATGTATTATATAAACTTGATCGATTTCTAACTGATACCGAAACACCATCTTGTTCTACACTGAAACTTTTTATTATCAAACAAATTCTACAAATGTCGAAACTTACTTTGGAAGGTTTACGTGAAGTCTATGTAAATCGTAATCTTCTTTGGATAAAACCATTTTTTCAACGCTCACGTGATCAACAAACAACAAATGTTCGTCAAACTCTTATTATTCCAATGCCTCTTTTTCAATGTCGAGAACAATTCGTACGAATTCAACAAATATTCAATAGTGTAGATAGAAATAATCAATTACGAAAAGTAATTCAAGAATGTCATCATACACAAAAATTATCCTACGCTTTTCTATGTTGGTTTATTGAGTATTGTTCTCGTTTTATTCAGCCAAAGACAGAAATAGACGCTGACTTTATTCGAATTATTCAACATGATTTTAGTCAAGATTTAATTAAATCATTTACACCATTAGGTCATCGATTTCTTATTGATTTATGTTCAAATTTTTCGGAGAAATCTTATTTTCAACTTCATTCTACAATGACACCGGATGATATTCATAAGCGTTTACTTGCTTTAAATATCGTCGCTGTCTTTATTTCTTTCAAAGCACAATCAGAAATTACACTTCTCGGTAATATTCTCTTCGATAATCAACGACAAATGCCAGCTAGTTACGTTCAACATCTCTCGACTATCTGCTTACCAGGTTTGACCATCAGCAATATCATTATCAGTCAAATGATATATGTTCGCGCTCGAGTTCAAGAACGTCTCGATCAACGTATATATGAACCGTATAAAGTCGATTATGGAAAATTCATTTACCAATGCTCAAAAGAGTGTCCATGGATGTTCTATTTTGAAGATTGCGGTGCTCCAACAACTAAAACCATATGTTCTTTATGTCAGAAAGAGATTGGTGCTAAGGGCTATAATATTCTTATCGAACGTGATCCTCCTCAACTTCGAATACCGAATCCCGAAGCCTTTCAAAGAATCGATAAATATATTAAGCAAGAAAATCAAAATATTTGTTTCGGATATCATAATGTTAAAAATACAAATGAGAGCAGTTTAGGTGACAAACCTGATCATTTAAATCGACCAGTTTCATTTCGTTTTATTCATTTTCTTACTCATGGTCTTCTTTACTTTTTGTATGATCGAAATTATTTGACTGATGATGATTTAAAGCAACGTCTCAAATTACCAAGAAATACTCATTTTCGTGATCATTTCGAAACAGATTATGAACTTCTTTGTCAAACATCAATTGATCCTCAACAATGTTACATATGGCTTTATAAACTTCTCAATCATCTTGTTGATGATGAATTCGTTAAAAAAGGTCAAATAAATACAAATGAAAATGTTCTACAAATTGAACAACTCATAGAACAAAAACTTATTTTTAAACATATTGATTCAATTGACAATGAAATAACTGAATATAAAAAAGCTCATGCTGAATTCATACAAAAACAACAATCATTAGAAAGTTTTATTGATGAACTTTTCGAAAATGAAGAATGTTATCCATTATTGAATTTTTTCAATATTACCACATTTCATACATCAAATCCGTTGGAGGAATTCATTTTGAAAATGCAAAATTTACCTTTTGCCGAAAAAACTTATCCTGTTACTACATATCTTCTTAAACGTTTAGATGATTATACAAATATTCAACATTTGTATCCAATTGTTACCTTCAGTAATTATTTAATTGAAAAATTAAATCATCGAATTAAACGAATTGATTCTGTTCAAACAAAAATGATTTACTATTTGACAGAAGATAACGATCGAGATATAACTAAAAAATTATTCGATGATTTTCTCGATGCTTGGTATTCATTAACTTTCAAAGAAGTTTGTTATGGATGTCAAAGACCGAAATTTGAACATGCTGTTTCCAAAGAGAAATTTGCCGATAATACAAGTATTGCAATGTTATTATTGACTTCATCAAGAGACGATAGTATTCTTCTACCAGCATGTTTGAAAACAATAGCCGAATTACAAAATGAAATTGTCAATTATTTTCGTAATACAATTGAAACTGCTATTGAAACAACAACAAAAAGTAAACGAAAAAGTATACCATTACAATCAATTCGACCCGAACATATTTTTTCTCTTAATCGAAATAATTTAAGTGCAAAATTGATTAATGATAGTATTGTTGTCAATTATCAATATGGAAAAAGTAAAGATATTATTTATGATTATGAAGAAATGGAAATTACATTTCGAAATATGATTAGTAAATTAGTTTTAATTGATACAGAAAAATTAAATTTTTTGACATATCAATTTGAATTGTATGGTGAAAATACATCTCTAATTAATGAAGTACGTGCTCGTATTAGACAACAACAATTAACAAATGATGACCGAACTAAATTGAGTAGTTTAATTAATACTATGAATCATGATGATATTCTTCATTATCTTGGTTCACTTGATAATATTTTTACTTATATAAGAACAATTGCTGTAGAAAGATTAACAGAAGATATGACAATTCAATTATTCGTTGAACGATTTATTCGTTCGAAATCTCGTCTAAATGATAATGTTCTTCGTTGGCCACATTTTTGTGCGATTCAATTGAAATATATAATTGATTTTTATGAAATATTTGAAGAAATTGCATTTGATAAAGTCTTACGTGTCTATATGAAGAAAGAACTTGTTGAAGATTCATTTACTGATGAAGAACGAAAACGAGTTATTGACGTATTCTCTCGTGCAACATTTGAAAAAGAGAAAATTGCTGAAACACTCAAATCCATTGATGCTTGGATTTCAACACTCAAACGATTGATAGTACGTGTGTTGAATACGAATATAGGTCTCGATATACCATTGGAAATATATCTTGGACGAACAGATTTATGGAGTGATCGTGTTAGTTTGAATGATTTAACAACATTTGAGGTCGATGAAGATATTTTATTACAGCATACTTATGTTATTCTAACTGGTTTGGAAAATAAACAAAAAGCAGCCAATCGATCGCAGCAACAACCGAACAAACCAGCAATTCAAAGTGTCGGAGGACAACGACAAAAAGCTAATACATGGTATAATCAAACGGCAAAAGCAACAACTAGTACAAAAGAGATTGGCGGCAAAAAGCCACCTGGAAAGAAGGCTCGTTCATAATATTTTTCTTTCATTCTTTTCTTTTTTATTAATAAACGTAAATTCGTCATAGGTATTTTTAAGAATCGATCATCAGTTAAACACAATTTTTTGTAGTTTCACAAGACTAAAGTCTCGCAGGAATAGTGCACAATGGAATTTTTAGCAAGAAAATGTTCGGTATTATAAAAACAACCTTATCTATGCGACTTGACTATCAAATAACAGCAATTTATTTAACTCGAAAGCATATAAATATGGGTGATTTTGCATAATCTACACCTTTTATAAAAGCTATTCTGCTCAATAGATTTCAAATTTCGTTTTATTATTCAGTTCGTTTAGAAATAGTCATTCACTTATGAAAAACAAAGAGCCTTTCATCTCAAATAAATGCTATGATGTACATCTAACAAGACCAAAAACATCTGTTTTTAGCTCCACATGGAAAAAGAATCAGCTTGTTTTTCTCATTTAAAGTTTCTCGTAGCTTGAAAAGTAAACTTTTCAAATATGTACTTTGAATTTCAAACAAAATAAGGTTTAGCTTTTGATTCTATCAAAAACCTTGGTTTCAATACATTTTTTGAAAATTATGTCTACCGAGATTCTTTTGTGTATATTTCAACTAAAATCACTGCAGACTAGGAATAATCCTCAAGGAGCTCGTACTCATGACGGACCTGAAAGGAGATCTTATTGCTACGTAGGTATAACAAAATGGGATCTTTTGCTTTTTCCTAATTCTTTTTCTGTATCCCAAGAAGGTAAGATCTGAAATTTTGAACAGAGAATTATCATTTGATACTACGAGATTGGCTTATATTCAGTCAAAAAGTGAGGGTGTGGTTGTGTTTTCTTTTTTGCCGACACCTACTCTGTCTCAGTGAACCCTACTCACAGCTAAAAGATGGGGTAAAAAGGGGTCCGACACTTAGATATATTCCCTTATTACTATCCAGTGTATCAGATACATATTCAAACAAATGACATTATTTCCTTTATTTTATTTTATTTATTTACTGCGCAAGGTGGTTGATCGCTTAATATTGATATAAAATTTCTGATAAGTTGTTGATGCTTATTATTACGGAGAAATAGATCTAGTCGCTGTTCAGCATCAATTAGTAAACTCTGTTTAAGATAAATAGATAAAGTTTTAATGATATTATCAAGCCATTTTGTATAGAATTCTTCTTCATATCCTTGAAGCATGATGCTTATTTCTATAAAGTATTGTTTCGCAGTGGTGCCTTGTTTGAATTGAAGTAATCGATCGACAGAATGAAATTTAATCATTCAAAGTTTTATACATGTAAATAAAAAACGAGCCCATTGAATAGCATCAGCAATCGGTGAAAGTCTTACGTAAAAAAAAATTCTTTCAGGGAAAATAGACATCTTTGTAATTTAGTGATATTTCATTTAGTTCTCTACAAAATGATACATTTTTTATTGATGTAAAAAAAATTCATCATTTTCGAAAACGTTAAGAGTATATTGCTATGTATTTTCCTCTAATTTATACAATGAAAATGGGAAACCTCCTACGATTTCACATTTTCGTCAATTGATGGATAAAAAGTTCGTATGTCCCATTTGCAGTCGGTGGTCATTATTGATTAATCAGCAGTGGATCATGTTTAATAAAAGTAAATTATTTTAATGAAATCTTTAGAAAACATGAAAGATTTCAGTAGGATAATGAAAAAAACTCACATCTGTTAATTAACACAAAATTATGTGTCACGACAGGTCTCCCACTTTCATCATAACACATAATTAGCCATTAAATAGTCTAGATTCAATACCACCAGACCATTCGTTTTAGAACGAATTCACTCATTATATCATGTGAAAAAAAGTAACATTGAAAAATACTCTTGACGAAGAATTGAAACATAATGTCGAGTGACGGTTACCAGATGAAAATTTACGGTGTGGATGGGTGAAGGCTACAGTTGTATTGGGCATCATGAAGTAACACCCACACCATACCTGTATCCAATACTTTTACTTCACAGTCATCTGTCCACCAAAATAACTTATGTTTAAATAGTGGGGGTAAAAACTCTAAGTACATTTTTGACAATGTCCTCACTGTCGAAAAAAACTTCGCTTTCGGTGATAAAAACAAACGATCGTGTAAGATGGATGCACGGATTCTCAACAGTAGGAAGTGTTATTAAACATCAATTAAAAATATATATCATTGCATCAGAAAAACATAGTCTGAACAAATAAATTCTAAAAGACGACATATCACTCAAATATGAAGAAATCAATTTTCCTTGAAGCAACCGTTATTACATGAGAAATCAAAAATTGAATATTTCCTTTAAATATTGGAAGATTATTTTCATATTTAATAAAAATATCATAAAGTTCATCAATTCCTTTACAAAATTGTCGCATAATTTTATACCCAATAAATGAATATCATTATTGAGAGTTTTCAAGATTAAATTACGCCAAAATGAAAAGAAAGAAAAGAATTTTTAATCGTAGACGTGTTCAAATACTTGATCAGCTATTTGTTCTTCATTTGTAACAGTTTTCATTTCTAATCCGAATATATCATAAAGGTCCTTTAAATTTGTTAACATTTGAATTAAACCATCACATTTGTGACTCAACATCTGTTTTATCAAGAAAAATACGGTGTTCAAAATTACGTTGATCACTCAAGTTACGCTTTGCTATTTTCATATACAATTTTCCTAATGGATATTACGAAAGTAGAATTTTCATATCAATCATCTGTTGGATACGATTAATTATTTCACTAACAATTCTTTCGTTCAATAGAACTAAATGTTCATCTATATTTAGTAATTCAGTTTCATAGTAAGAATAAATTTTCAAATAAAAGTAGTTATTCATTTAATCTTGACGAATCTTGTTGAATTTACTGAACCACAATCGGTTATTTTAAGCTTATTCCAAATAAATTGGAACTTCTTACTATATACCTGAATCCTAGAAAAGAGTAAAGACACTAAATAATGAATAAATAGGTTGTGGATGTTAGAAAAGAAAATAATAATACCCACATCCTACTTCAAGCGGTATTTTCGAAAATGTTGTAGGAGATCGGAAACCTGTTCGGAAATCTCTAAGGATTTCATAATGGGGTTCGGGGTAGCTTTAAGCTCTATAGGAAACGCATTCTTTTAGAGAGTAAGTGTGGATCTTTTCTTTGCTCACAGCTAAAGTCATACTCTGCAGAAAAAAATAGTTAAGTTCTTTTATGCTGACAATGAAAGCTTTAAAAAAATATTTTAGAGGATGTGGATGTGGGGAATGGGTCTAGGCAGGTGTAAGTGGCACTTTTCTTCAAATACACCCACACCCACACCCTCAAGATATGTGTATAGTTGATCGCCCGTTCTTTTGCAAGATTTGAATGCAGGAGATAATTGAACAATCGGCATAAGTAGATTGTATATCATAATCATGTTATCATCAGCAAAAGAAGACCTGAAAATCTGTCGCAGCTGAATTTCAAGTATATAAAGTATCTAAATTAAAACTGGAACTATCATTAAGCGCTAAGTAAACATTAAATATTCTATATATTCTTATCTATGATCGAAACTCATTCGTAGCACAATTTGTCCTTAATTTTTTTTTCTGATTGATCATTGGATATTTGTTGAGACTAACCTATAAAATTTATAAGGCACTCGCAATTCGAAAGCTCAAGTTGAATTGATTTTGGATTTTTTATGCATAGTTTCATAAAGTTTGNGAAAAAAGTCCATTTCTCTATCAACTTCGATTGAACGTTCTTCTCAATGATAGGGGAGAAGTTTATATTCAGCAGAAAAAGAAAAATCGTAAAATTCAATTATATCAACTTCGCATATCAGCACCAGGATTTACCTACACATCCCATTATGAGGAAGATTTGTTTCGTGATATCATAGTTGGTCCATCGATGTCGCATCAATTTTTATTTGACACTCATTTCAAAAGTGGATATATTCACAGTGCTCCTGGTAAGAAAGTACTGTGCTGGTACCTATTTCTGTAGAAAATATTATTTTTAGGCAGTAGCGTACCCTTTTGGCACCAGCTAATAATTTTTACTTATTTTCTTCTGAGCACACAATCTTACGACAAATTCGACTCACTTTTCGATCAATTTACGAATGCTGTAAAGATTCGTCAAAGCACTATTTCATGTGACGATTTGAAGATATTTTTCGATCTGTGCGATAAATATTTACCAACAATCGAAAATGTATTCAAACAAGATCTTAGTGCCCTCAAAATTCTTATTCGGATGATTGGACTTTTATCTATATGTCAAGAAAATATAATTAACGATCGAATAGCTTCAACATTTTCATCAATCATTCTGAAGAATTTTGGCGACAAACTCAACGATGTCTTTGCAACAATCAATGAAAATGAATGGACATCTTTTTGTCAAGGTTTAATAACACTAATTTGTATTAAACTATTTTATCAAGGAAATGCAAACGAGAGAAGCAATGCTTTTGATTTACTCTCAAAAATGCCTGAAGGAGAGCAACGAGAATACGCAGCACTGAAATTGCTTGATTTATTGTATCATTTGCCATATAGATTACCTAGTGACGAAGGAATGGTGCTGTTTGAATTAGTTAAACCCGATGATCTCAAACTGAAATATCTCGAATTAGCTGATTCGCTTGAAATCTACATTATGTACGTTACTTATTTTATCAACAAATCGGAAGATAATGCGAATGATTTGAAAGAAAATATTAAAAGTCAACTTGATAGACTTCTTAAAGAAAATCATTTGCCAAGTAAGTCATTATGAGAAAAAGAGAGAGAGAGAATGGTTCTTTTTTTCCTAATTATTCTTTAGTTACATCATCCAAAATCGCATTCATTCTAACGTATTTGAAACAACAAGCAGGCAACAAGTCAATCCAACTAATGCAATCTATTTTCCAAACAAACGAAATATTACGAACAAAGATTGAGTCATATTTAAATGGAAGAAACTTTTACATTCCTTCGGAGGAGCTTCCTCTCATTCGTGATATTATGATTCGTTCATATAATTCATTTTTATTGCACAATATCAATCGTCAACAATATATTTCGCGTACACTCAGTCGTCGAAATGATCGAACACGTGATTATTTTCTCATGTGGTTCGAATGCTTTCTCTGTGAAACAGATAAAGAGTGGATTAATTATGAAGAATTAACCCGCCAATGGACCGAATGTTTTGTTAGTGATCAAAAAATGTTTTCTGACATCATCGAAAAATTTGATTCGCTTATCGATCTTTGGACAAAAACTGCACCTAATAATAATCAACGTTTGAACTTTTTTGTGGCGCACATGGTCGCACAATGTTTCAGACAAGGTAAAATAAAGGGGATAGTTAGGTAGTTGATTATCATATTTTGTTGTTCAATCACTAATTTTATAGGGTGCGTATGACTATCGATTTGAGCGTGGGCGAAGAGAAGATCCACACACCCTCTAGAAGATTAGAAAAAAGCCTAGACAGATACGTTTGAGAAGAAGCTCCATTTTGGTTAAACGTGTTTGATTGAAACTTCTAACTGTAGCCTGGTGCAGACTAAAATATCAATTGATAATATTTCGACTTGAAATTTTTCCCAAATATGCCCTAAGCTCACCGAAATATCCTAATAGATTTTGGCGGAAGCAACTGTGTCCGTTTTGACATATTGCATTTGTCAATTGAGTGAAGACAATCAAATTTCCTTTTTTAGATTCCTCCATTTCAGGTGGAAATATCAGCATTCACTTTGTTTCAATACACTTAAGTAGATGGAGTAAACATATCCTTCAGGATTTTTTTCTCTAGTCTTACAGGATACTATGCATGGGTGAAATACCGAACTGGATCGTCGTTAATCATCTTGGAAGATTTCCTTATAAAAAGAAATGAATATTTTCGACTTTTTTGTTTTTGTTCTGTGTCCAATAATATTTGTATGATTATATGTTTTGCTCATGTTATTCTCTCTGACAAATCTGTTTACAATACTGTATCAGTCATCATCTGACAATCGAAATTTTCCCTATCGCGATTTTTTCCGATATTTTGAAACATTATCCAAAGATCTATAGGGTTCATTTTATCGAATTGTGTATATCTATTATAAGAGGTTTTGTATTCTATTGTAGAGAACTTGAACAATCTTCTGAAGGGCGCTTTGCGTACAGTCAAGAACGAAAAATTTCTTGACATCTTCGAAAAACAATATCAAAAAGACAAGCTGGGCAATGCCAAGGCACGTCTCAGGGATTTATACGATCCGAAAAACCCATTGTTTCAATTAATGAATATTGCTAAAGAACAAAATAGACAAAATACACTTGTAGAAAATTTGATTGCTTGTGTAGCGTCAATGTTTGAAATCGGAGATGCTGAACTTATTAATGATACTTTCAATCGTCCATCTAAAGATACATTTATCTATGCTATTCTATTCGATGAGTCATTCAGTTCATTATCAACACATAAAACAATTATTAATCGTTTGAATCAACAATGGACAAAATGGGAACAAGGAAATATTCTTGCCAGTGATATACGTACATGGGAAAAATTTTCAGGACATCAAAAAGCTCTCGTTCATAAAATATGGTCGTTAGTAGCTGAAGAAACAGGAAAACAAGAGCAATTGGATTCAGTTTTCGATAACTCATGTAATGCTTTGAAACAGAAATTGGAAACGAACGATAAAGTAATAACATGTCTCAATACTTATTGTCAAGGGACAATCGACAAAACGAAATATGATGATCTCATCAAAGATTGGCATGCGCGTTTTGAAGTAGAAAATATTGGTTCAATTGATTTACCTTCCGATTTATGTAATATTGTTCCGTTTGCTGAAAAACTGAATCCTTATGCAACAGCAATGGCTTGGCAAACTTATCTTCATCAACAAACAAGACCCAGTAGTAAAAATCGATCGATAAGAAGGCAAGGTCTTAAGGAACCGATCGAACGACAATTCAGCGAAGAAATGGACGAGGACGTGTGGACACAAGAACAAGTATTGTCAATAGGTAGGATAAATATTTCTTGAAAAAAATTCTTACGAATAATTTGTTTTTTTTAATCGTATCTACAGATGAAATGGAGATATCACCCAATGAACCTGTCAAAGTTGAATGTATGAGTATACTTCAACAAGCCGTTAACATACTTCGAGATTTTGAACAAATATTAAAATGTATATGTGAACAAGGACACGGCATTCCAATTGAAAATATTCTTCGATTATTTCCTGACATTGGCCAAGCTGCAAATGATCTCAAAGTGTTAACACCTTTGCTTAAAAAGGAAATGTTACCTCTACTTATTTCCATTACTTCGTTTTGGAAAGATCGTGCTCGTGTTCGATATATTTGTACAGGCATTATGAATTTGACTGCGAAAATTTCTGCTACTATCGATTTAAATATATTGCGCAGTTTATGTTCTATCAATGAACAAACATTGAGTGAAATATGTTTTTCAACTTATGAACAATATCGAGAAGAATTTGAAAAGAAATGTTCGGCCAATATTCTTACATTACTTTATTATTATGGTTCATCAAGTGATTTATTCGATTTTCTTGATTCACTTACAGCCGATGATGTCTATAATTTACAAGAAGCTGTTAATGATTGGGATGAAACATTGGTAAATACAAAAACAATTTTTGATTTTGCTACAGTGAAAAATTTTCTCGATCGTGCTTATGCTGCAATCACAGATAAACAAAACCAAATGAATTCATTGCTATTTGAACATATAATCGAATGTTTCGGAGCTATATGGAAAAATAATCAATTTGATGGTCTTTCTAGATGTCTTGAATCATCCACATTGTCATTAGCAAGTATCAAACGTATTCATTTAGAATTAACCGATAAAGAACAATCGAAACGACGTCGAATAGCTGATATTTTACAAAAATCTAATATAGATTTCGTTTTACTGGGACATTATGAAATAAGATTCGATATTGATGTTAAACTTCCGAATCAACAACAGCAAGAAACAACAACGAATGATGAGCAAAAAGAACAAAATATAACATTTGCCGATTTAAGTGAACTTCGTGATCGTGCACGGCTACTTGAATATTCTAGTAATGTACAAAAAGCTGATAATAAGGAACATGATGTCGATAAATTGCGTAAATTTATCAAATTTGTCAGTGTTGTTGAAACAACCTTAGAAACTCTAACAGCCTTGTATACGACTGGTCATCCATCAGTTTCAAAATTTCTGATGCCAGAAAAACGTTTCCTATGTGCAGATGGAAATTATAATGAACTAATAGAAAATAATACTATATTAAGTGATTTACTTGATAATTGGGAAAAGATATTGTTTACTATGTATGAAATACATAATGATTTGACATATTTTACAGACGATCAATTTTGGCTTATTGAAAAATATATATATAATTCATCGGCATTATCAGTTTCTCATCCCGGCTATCATCTTCTTAGATTTATCGATATTGATCCGAAATCAATCAAAACACCGGACAAACAATACGACAAACCAGAAGATCGTCTTGAAAATATTGGATCTTTATTATCGAAGCAACGACGAGAAGTTGTTCTTCAAAAAGAAAATTTGAAAAATGAGAAAATTCTTCTTGTTGAGACAACAAATGAAGGTATTCTTCGTGCTATTCTATCTCTATTTAAAAAAACAAAAAATTCAGTGCACATTCGTCATCTTTTCTATTGTACAACACGAACAAATTGGATACAAATTCGCGGATTTATCTATCGTTGTTTCTATTCACAATCATTTCATCAACTGATTCGACCTGAAATTCTTTCACAATCTGTTCAAGATCAATTTGTTCGTTTACTACGTTCATTAATGAAAGATAAGCCTGAACAAAATTTTCGAATCGGTATTATTACAACAAGTAACATTAGAAATCAACAACTTATCAATGGACTTCGATCGATGGATATTGTCGATATTGTTCGTGATCAAGATTTATTAAATAAAACAGATTTTCAAAAATTAATTCAAGATATGAATCAAAATTGTACACTTGTGACATCACGAATAGCTAGCCTAGGAAAATCAACTATTATTCGTCAGGCAGTTGAGAAATTAAAAAAGAAATATGTTAAATTTCCAATCTATGGTGATTTTGATGTTGATACATTAGCTGAAAGACTTCGTTCAAAATATGCTGAACTTCAAACAGGAGCCATTCATCTTGATATTGGCACGACTGCTAATAGTCAACAATTAAATGAAATTCTTTATTGTCTACTACTATTTAGAAATTTTCGCTTCGGACAAATAGCTGTTTCGATACCGACCGAGACGCTTGTATATATTGAACTTGATGCATCACCGGATGCAACTCTTAATGAATTACCATTATTTCAACATATAACTCCGACGACAATCGTCGAAAAAGTCGATTGGGCAACTCTTAATATAGGCAATAAAGAAATTCAAACAGTGGCAAATTATTTGCAGGCTATCGCCAATGGAAAAATTGTAAATCAGAATATCCATCCATCGATGCTCAGAGATTTAGATGTAAAAACATGTTCTGATCTCATTCAAGGTCGATTTGTTCAAAAAAAAGATGTTAATTACATAACATGGACTCAGGTGTCGATATTCATTACTATATTTCATCGTCTATTTACTGGTTTTTCAAACTGTATTTACTTCTCAATTGATGTAGTTCCGGATACAAGGCTTCGTATGAATCTTGTTGAAGCTCTTCTTCAATCATGTAATGAATTTACTTCACTTTCAGTTGAAAATGTTCGTAAACAGCAACGATCAACTGCCAAAGGTGAACATACAGTATTCAGTGATGCCATCGTTCGATGGGATAGAATCCAACCGTTTACATTTGTTTTCACGACAACTAATGATCCACTATATGTGTACAAAAGTCCTACGAATGTGCCTCAAGCGCTTGTTGAATATTTTAAACAGTATTATCAAGCAATAGGGCAAGCATCAATTCCGTTAACTACTATGTTTCCTGATTATATCACGCTTAATCACAGTGATTTTTTTGTCAAATCAGCTTCACTCTCATATAAATATTTTAACAAATCGATTTGTCCAAAATGCTTTGGACAATATAATATCAAACAAGAAAAATGTGATAAATGTGTTAGCAAAGATCTTCTTATTCGACCAAAATCATTTGATAACAAAGATATCGAAATATTTCAACGAGATATTGCAAAAAGACTTCAAGATGATTATGTTCTTACATCAGATAATTTTATTAAAATGCTTCTTATTTATATGCGAGTACAGTGTGGTATCCCTGTTTTGATCATGGGCGAAACCGGATGTGGAAAAACATCCTTAATCAAATTTTTATGTCAAAAAATTCTCGACGAAGATCTAGAAATTTTCCACATTCATGCTGGTGTTACACTCGAAATAATTGTCCATAAAATGAAAGCTTATATTCAGAAAGTTCAATCTTACACTATTGCAGAAAAGCGTTTATGGATATTCTTCGATGAATTTAATACGACAGCAAATATTGGTGTTCTCAAAGAGATTATGTGCGAGCGAACACTACTTGGAGAACGGTTACCTGATAAAATGGTCTTTTTGGGTGCTTGTAATCCTCGACGACAGAAAACAGCACGGATTCTTCAGAATGATAATGTTCATGTTGGCTTACGAAAAAATCGTTATGCAATGCAAAAAGCTCTCAGTACAGGTGCCGATCAACTTCTTTCGTATATGGTCGTACCTATACCAGAAACTATGCTCGAATATATTTGGGATTATGGTTATTTGAACGAATCAACAGAATTGACTTATATCAAAACAATGTTGAACATATGTCAACGTCTTTCGGCTGATTCAACTTTGTTCAATCTTATCGTTCAGCTTCTTGTTCACTCTCAAAATCATTTTCGTCAAATTGAAGATGCAAGTAGTGTAAGTTTACGAGATATTGCTCGTTTTTGTCGTCTTTACAATTGGTTTCTCGATTCCTTAATCGAAAGAGATTCGAAAAAAACATTTCAAGATAGTTTTCTTCGTCGAGCAAGTTTTATTTCATTAATGCTTTGCTATTATTTTCGATTGCGTTCTGCAAAATTACAGGAGGAATATGTTAATAAAATGCAAAGTATAATGGTAGAATGCTATCCAAAAATAAGCAACATGCCGGATTATTTGACAAAGCATATTCTTGAAAATGAACAGAAGAAATTGATTGATGAAAGAATGGAAGTGCCACCAAATACCGCTCGAAATCGAGCGCTTCGTGACAATGTGTTTGTTCTTCTTGCTTGCATTGTCAATCGTATACCACTGTTTTTATGTGGTAAACCTGGTAGTAGTAAATCATCAGCTGTTCAAATTGTTATTAGCAATTTGAAAGGAAAAAAATCAAAAGATCCTTACTTTCAAGCATTGCCCGAACTCGTTGCTGTCTCGTTTCAAGGTTCACAAAATTGTACATCGGAGAGTATTATAAAAGTTTTTGAACGTGCTGCAAAATATGCTGGAGTTCGAAATGATTCTGAAATATTGCCTGTTATTGTTTTCGATGAAATTGGTCTTGCTGAACTTTCTCCACATAATCCACTCAAAGTTTTACATGCTGAACTTGAAGTTGAGAATAGTAAATATGGTTTTGTTGGTGTATCGAATTGGCGACTTGATGCATCGAAAATGAATCGTGCACTCTATCTATCGACACCAGATCCGGATGTTAAAGATTTGCAACTGACAGGTTTAACTATTGCTCGAAGTATGCAACACCAAGCCGAAAAACAAGTAGTTCAACTTGAAAAATTCATTATTGATAGTCTTTCTCAAGCCTATTATGATCTATATGAGCATTTGAAGGAAACACAACCGGAATATGAAAATTATTTTGGTCTTCGAGATTATTATTCTCTCATTAAAGGTATTGCTCGTGACACAATGACATTAGAAGATGATGCTCAATTGTATGGAATTATTCGAAAACAGCTTAAAATTAATTTTGATGGTATTTTTGATGGTTCAACATTTTTATGGCAACAGTTTTGTGATTATATAAACAAGCAAAATCTTTTTGCTGAATATACAAGTCCTCCATTCAATCATCTTGTTGATCAAACTCTTCGTACTCGTTCAAGTCGATATCTAATGCTAATTGCTGATAGTGAGGGTGTAATTGATTATGTTGAACGTTACATTAATGTTCATCAACAAAAACAAAAAACTACCGTTCGTACAATTGTCGGTAGTTCATTTCCTGGTGATCTACTTTCGGGAAATACCTATGCCGAAGATTATAACTATCGAGTTTTAATGGATATTATACTTTATGCGGAAACAAATATTACTTTAATTATGCGTCAAATGGGTCATCTCTATGATAATCTTTACGATTTATTTAATCAAAATTTTGCTATATCAGCAAGAAAAAAATATTGTCGTATTGCATTAGGTGCACTTTATCATCCACGTTGTCTTGTTCATGATGATTTTTATTGTGTAGTTTTTATTCATAAACGTGATTTAGACCAATGTGATCCACCATTTCTTAATCGTTTTGAAAAACATATTATCGATATTCAAGCATTAATACATCCACGACATTGGTCATTATCTCGACAATTATATACATGGCTTGATAATTTGTTACCGAAAAATCTTGGTAATCATTTTCCACTTTTACAACATTTGTTTGTTGATCACAGTCAAGATCAAATTTGTAATCTTGTTATCGAAGCTTTCGAACAACTAAACATATCAACTGATGACGAAGAAAAACCTGAGAAAATTTCAGAAATTATTAATTATTGTCAAGAAAAATTACTTCGTACTGGTTCGTTCGATTTACCTTTAATTCTTTCGACGCAATCAACTGACGAATGTCAAAAATTGATTGAACAATATTATAGCATATGTCAATCATTTACATTTGGTAAACTCATTCAAAAATCTCTTGAAAGTTCTACATCTTCTCTTCAAATTATTTATACGTATACTCAAATCTATCATACAATTGATCATCTTCCAGCTGATGTCGAAGAAGTTAAATTAAGTGCTTTTAGAACTGAACTTGAATTAGTCAAAAAAGTAAAACACCATTATCAGGCATTAACAAACTTTCGTCTTCTTCTAATTCGTGTGGATTATCATGGTGAACATCAACATATTCTCTCATTAAAACATGTTGTACAAAATGAATATGTAGCATCGAGTGATCGAAGTGTTTGGCTTATATTTCATTTACAACGTAATCTAATCAATCAAGTAAACAATGATGTTTTATTTAGTGGTTGGTTGACCGATATGATCGATGATCTTAATGATCGAGAACTTATTCGACAAGAAATATTGAATAATCCTTCATATCAAAATCTTGTTCGTCAGCCTGAATTTCGAATATCTGAATGTATATTCGATGGAGATGTTCATCAATGTCTCTTGAGATCTTGTCAATACGATAACATATTTGATGAGCTAGTTGATCGATGTTTATCGAAATTTCGCTATATAACTGTTCAAATAAATGATCGAGAATATATCAGCGAACGACGTCATACACTCCTTCAACATATTATTGAACATCGAAATAATTCAACATCAAAAGGTCTTCATCTTCGTTCAATTATAATCGAAAAGTTGATGATGTTGATTGAAAATCTTCCGCCATCGGATAAAACACGATTCGTTGATTGGAGACTTGATGCTTTAACAAATGCTATTACTATTGCAGGTAGGGATCAGCGGTATCAGCGACAATACCGAAGAAACCGTCAATTTTGTCACCGACAGTGACGCTCAGTGTACACCAATAGGTTCAGTGTCACTGGTGACGTGAGGCACACTGACTTCAAAAAAATACACTTCTATTTATTATGTTAAGTCAGTGTGCCTCACGTCACCAGTGACACTCCCATGTAAAAAAATATGAGAAAAAAGTACTACAAGTTCACTTATTAGTAATTTTCACTACTTATATCAACTTTTTTGTACTAATAAGTTGATATTAGTAGTGAAAATTACTAATAAGTGAACATTTATAGTTTCTGTTTTACATGGGACTGAACCTATCGGTGTGCACTGAGCGTCACTGTCGGTGTCAATCGGCGTTCAGTAAACTTGCACTGCACATCCCTAATTTCAGGTTCACGTTCGTTTTACGATGCTTTGCAAGGAACAATTTCAATGTTTTACGAAGCCTATCTTGCTCTTCTTTTGGTTCATTTTGAAAAATATCAACTTTTCGATGCCTATATTTGTCTTTCAAATACTCAAGATGAAAATATGCGAAATCATTTGTCTCAACTATGGATAGACTCATTGGAAACATCATTGGAAAATATCGATGTAACAACAATGCATCTTGATGTTATCGATATTCCGTTCATTGTCGGTATTCGATTGCCTTGCGCAGCAGTCGAATTTGAAAATATTCGAACTATTCGAAAGAAATTTCAGGACATGCAAGAGAATGATACTGAATTTTCATCTGATGATTACGATTCTCGTCTTGATCAAATACATACTTCGAATATCTATTATAACAAAATTTTACAACTTATTTTTACCGATCAACAATGGTTTCAATTGTATTTTCATGATCAAATAACAATGCATTTAGCTGAAGTTAAGATTCAACTATCGACTGATTTTGTTTATGATTTATTAACAAGTAATCCAACACGCACAATTAAACAACACAAACGGTTATTTCTTGTTGAACATGTTGAATTAACCGAAATTCTTCGTCTATTTGAAATTAGTTTACAATTGATTAGTGAAGAAATAATTCGAAATGTTATCCATAAACAATCGATCGAAATTCCACCTTGTAAACTTCAATCTTCAGAATACTATACACTTGTCTTAGTCAATAGTAAACAATTCTATCAACTGCCACCGAAAAGTACAAATCTTGAAGAACAAGAAATATTCGAATGTCAAGGTGATCCAATGATTGAAACAAGTCTTATGAATTTAATTGAACTTATTCTTTCACCATCGGTTATTCAACAAGCAAAAAATATTCAACAAGTAACAACAGCTTACAGTTTAATTGCACAAGGTATTCGCAATTTAAATTCATATGAAGTTAATAATTTGGAAAAACTTCGTTCATTTCTAAGTCTTATTCGTTGTCTCACTACTCTACTTTCTCACAAAGCTCTTGATGTTCTCAAAGATGTTTGTGAGAGTGATTTTCAAGGTAAATTTGATTCATGTTCAAGTATTCATTATTTTATTACCCAATTACAAGAACGTATTAAAGTAGAAAAATCAGATACTGATGAAAATACTATTCATAGAGCATTAGTTAAACTTGAGCTTGACTTCTTGAAGGATTGGTTAGCTGATAATGCCGATTCATATGGTGAAATTTTAACACTTATGGATGATCAAAATAATGATCTTTGGTTTTATTCAGCAAAAGTCTTTACAATTATTGATAATAGACTTGATTTAACATCAACATTGAGAGAAAATCATGGTGTTCTTCCATCGAATGATGAATTCGAACAATTAAATCGATCTCTCGAAATGATAAATAGTTCTAAACGTAAAATTGAACGATTGATGGCCAATCGACTTCATATGCATTTGATGTTGGGCGTTCAAGGAAACGAAATCGATCAACAACTTACCGATGAATATGATTATTTTGTCGAAAATTTTCGTGAAATTCAAAGTGGTAAAATGCTTAGTCCTGCTCAAAGGATTTCATTAATTGCATGGCTAAAATATTATGCACAAATGTATGCATTGGCATTGTATAATGAGAGTCAAGAAGATGTTTTACCTCGTATTGATCAATTTTTAACCAATACAGATACGCCATTTTCTTCAACAGTAAAGCTTTTTATTATCAAACAAATGTTACAAATATCGAAATCAAGTCTTGAAGAGCTACGTGATATTTATGTAAATCGTAATATTCTTTGGGTTAAACCAATTTTTCAAGGTTCACGTGATCAACAAGCGAAAATTACTCGTCCAACTCTCATTGTACCCATACCTCTCTTTCAATGTCGAGAACAATTCGAACGAATTCGAAAAACACTCAACAACATAGATAGAAATAATGAATTACGAAAGATAATTCAAGAATGTAACAATACACAAAAATTATCCTATGCTTTTTTGTGTTGGTTTATTGAATATTACTCTCGTTTTTCTCAACCAAATACCGATATAGACGCTGAATTTGTTCGAACAATTCAAAATGATTTCGCTCAAGATTTGATCAAATCATTTACACCATTAGGTCTTCAATTTCTCATTGATTTATGTTCGAATTTTTCGGAGAAATCTTATTTTCGACTTGATTCTACAATTCCACCAGATGATATTCATAAGCGTTTACTTGCTTTAAATATCGTTGCTATTTTTATTTCTTCCAAATCGTATTCAAAATCTACACTTCTCAGTAATATACTCTTCGATAATCAACGACAGATGCCAACTAGTTATGTTCAACATCTCTCGAACATCTGCTTGCCAGGTTTGACGATCAGCAATATGATTATCAGTCAAATGATGTATGTTCGCACTCGAGTTCAAGAGCGTCTTAATCAAGGTGCATATACTGTCGAATATGGAAAATTTATTTACCAATGCTCAGAAGAATGTCCATGGATGTTCTTTTTCGAAGAGTGTGGTGCTCCAGTTGGTAGAAGTATATGTTCTTTATGTCAGAAAGATATTGGCGCTCAGAGTTATGATAATCTTATCGTACGTGATCCACCTCAACTTCGAATACCCATTCCTGAAGGATTTAAAAAGATTGATAATTATATTAATCAAGAAAATCAAACAGTTCGTCTCGGATATCACACTGTCAAGAATACAAATGAGAGTAGTTTAGCTGACAAACCAGATCATTTAAATCGACCAGTTTCATATCGTTTTATTCATTTTCTTATTCATGGTCTTCTTCACTTTTTATCCGATCGAAATTATTTGACCGATAATGATTTAAAGCAACGTCTCAAGTTACCGACAAATACTCATTTTCGTGATCATTACGAAAAAGATTATCAACTTCTTGGTAAAGTTACAATTGATCCTCTACAATGCTACATATGGCTTTATAAACTTCTAAATCATCTTGTTGATGATGAATTCAATAAAGAAGGACAATTAAATACGAATAGCAATGCTATACGAATTGAACAACTCATCGAACAAAAACTTATTTTTAAACATATAGATTCCATTGATAATGAAATAACTGAATATAAAAAGGCTCATGCTGAGTTAATCCAAAAACAACAATCATTAGAAAGTTTTATTGATGAACTTTTCGAAAATGAACAACGTTATCCATATTTGAATTTTTTTAATATTACTACATTTCATACATCGAATCCACTAGTTGAATTTACTTTGAAATTGGAAAATTTGCCTTTTGCCGAAAGAACCTATCCAGTTAGTACATATCTTCTTCAACGTTTAAATGATTATACAAATATTCAACATCTCTATTCGATTGTTGCCTTCAGCAATTATTTAATTGAAAAATTAAATTATCGAATTAAACGTATTGATGCTGTTCAAACAAAAATGATTCATTATTTGACACAAGATAATGATCGCGATATAACAAAACCACTGTTCGAGAAATTTCTCGAGGCTTGGTATGCATTGACATTCAAAGAAGTTCGCTACGGATGTCAAAAACTTAAATTTGAACACGCTGTTCCCAGAGAAAAATTTGCCGAGAATACAAGTATTGCTATGCTATTATTGACTTCATCTAGAGACGATAGTATTCTTCTACCAGCATGTTTGAAAACAATAGCCGAATTACAAAATGAGCTTGTCAATTATTTTCAAAATACTATTGAAACAACAACAACAATAGAAACTAAAGGAAAATGTGTGCTACAATCGATTCGACCCGAACATATTTTTTCTCTTAATCGAAATGATTTCAGTCGAAAATTGATTAATGATAGTCTTGTGCTCAATTATCAATATGGAAAAAGTAAAGATATTATTTATGATTACGAAGAAATTGAAATTACACTTCGAAATATGATCAGTAAACTAGTTCTAATTGATACGGAAAAATTAAATTTTCTGACATATCAATTTGAATTGTATGGTGAAAATACATCATTAATTAATGAAGTACGTGCCCGGGTCAAACCACAACAACAATTAACAAATGATGATCGAACAAAATTGAAAGGTCTAATTATTACCATGAGTCCTGATGATATTCTTCATTTTCTTGGCTCGCTTGATAATATTTTTACTTATATACGAACAATTGCTGAAGAAAAATTGAGAGAAGATATGACAATTCAAGTATTTATTGAACGATTTATTCGTTCGAAATCTCGCCTAAATGATAATGTTCTTCGTTGGCCACAATTTTCTGCAATTCAATTACCATATATAATTGATTTCTATGAAATGTTTGAAGAAATTGCATTTGATAAAGTTTTACGTACGTATATGAAGAAAGAACTTGTTGAAGAAACATTTCCTGAAGAAGAACGAAAACGAGTTCTTGAAACATTCTCTCGTTCAACATTTGAAAAAGAAAAGATTGGTGAAACACTCAAATCAATTGATTCTTGGATTTCAATGCTCAAACGATTGATAGTACGAGTGTTGAATGCAAATGCAAGCCTCGATATACCAATTCAGTATTATCTGGAACGAACAGATTTATGGAGTGATCGTATTAATTTCGATGATTTGACAACGTTTGAAGTCGATGATGATATTTTATTGCAACATACTTATGTCATTCTAACTGGTTTGGAAAATAAACAAAAAGCAGCCAATCGATCGTCACAACAATCGGCTAAACTAACAGCTCACAGTGTGGCAGGACAACGACAAAAAGTTGACACATGGTTTGGTCAAAATACCAAAGCAACAACTAGTACTAAAGAGATTAGTGGTAAAAAGACACCTGGAAAGAAGGCTCGTTCATAATATTTTACTTCCATTCTTTTATTAATAAACTCAAATAAAAACCACTGATTAAATGAGTAAAGTATCAACATTGATTTTTAGACACGAAAATATTTTCATATGTAATCAGTGAAAAGAGTTTCTTGCTTCTACCCACGGATGAGGACAGGACAGGACAGGGCAGGACGATCCTGCTGCCCTGATACTCTAGGAGGGAGAGGCTGACAATAGATGACCAGAAAACGCTGTATTTATTTGGTATGAACTGAATCGAACAAAGAATGAATTCATTCTATTTGGATCGATTTCAAATCAGAACGTTTCCATTCGTTTTGATCCGTCAGAAAGGACTGATGACCTTTCGAACTTCGGAGCTTTGTGTCGGCTGAGCCTGCTCTTATCGAAATCCCCGGCGCCGCCGCTACCTAGTATTCTGTCCTGTCCTGTCCCTAGTTCAAGTACTGGTTTTACAGTACTGATACAGTAGTTATTTTTCAGCATCAAGAAAATCAAGTAGCATCGCTTTCATCTGATTTTTCCATCAAACTAGCACCTGCCTAACAACCAGAGGGATGCATAAGTTTCTATCCACCCATTTGAGTCAACAATATGCTAAGAAACATAAAAGTAAAACCTAAAATTCGTTTGGTAAAAACAGATTTTAAAGCGTAATAAGCTTGTTAGCGCAGCCCCTTGGGGGCTGAAATATGGAAATCACATATGTTCTTCAGTTTCGTTATATTAATACGAAATACAGAAGGTGTAAAATCAAGAATTTTTTATTTTTCATTTTCATAATTATTTTTTCTTAATTTAACATATTTAATATTATAAGCATTGAATTAAATGGCAAATAAGACTGTTATATATATCCATTATTTAATGCTGGTTGCTAAGGTCTGTTATGGGGACTTACATTGCTAAGTGTCTGTAATGGGGTGGGGCAGGAGGGAGCCGAAAACTTGAACTTAAAACTTACACTCACTATTTTCTTCGAAAATATATGTGAGTTCCACAAAAATCAGTACGTGAACTAGGGGTAGGACAGAAGGGAACTAAAAGTTTTGTCCTATCCTGCCGCTCGACAAGACAAATAAGGGCAGGGCACAGAACAGGATGCACCAACTCGTCCTGTGATTTTATCTACTTTAATGCGAGTAGGAGTGGGAAGTTACCAGTTACCAGGTAAGGGTGTGGGCGTGCGTCAGAGATGAGCACAGGACAACTTTTTTGTCCTGTTCTGTTTTGCTCCATTCTAATTTGTACTGCTACCAACCTCTATCCTTGTAAATGGCCGGATAGGATATATATTCAATTTTGACCTATTCTGCGGACTTAATGTGTCCTGATAGGTGGTAAGACAGTAAGAATTCTTATTTTGATTTTTCAAAACCGAATTATATAGTGGTTTATTATATATCTTATAGATAATTTATTTCATATCATTTTCCAATATAAAGACTAAAGCTGGGTGTGGGTGTGGGTGAGTATGGGTGTGAGTGTGGNTCGACTATATTGTAACAAAAACCTTAATTTGATAGAAAAAACACAATTTTTAGCGAAAATTTCGTTAGTCTAGAAAGTCAATATATGAAGATCTAAGGAAATGTCTGATGATCATACGTCGAAACCAGTATGATCGATAGCTTACAATCTACTAGCTTTCGATCAGAAAGCCATTGATCAGTTGAAAACTTTTCCTCATAAACTAAGATCTAGTATAATAAACTTCTTCTCATATTAGAAGCTCTGGGGACTCCTACTTGACTCTTCAAACTTTGCTGGGAAAAAACTGAAAATTTAGCTGGAGAGATTCCTAAAACATGAGGCTTCTAATATGGGATGAGATTTATTTTATATTATGCATATTTGACTGAAGAAATAAATTTAAACATACGCGATCCTTCTGTTGTCTTTGCTGAACATTCAATATAAATAGCTGAGTCAGTTTGTCTGGTCATCTTCTAACCTTCTTTGAAATGAACTAATTGTTCTGCTTTTCTCGTATTATTTCTTAGAAATAAAAGTGAGACGTTCTTTTTTAACGAATATAAACTTACAAACAAGAATAATTGGTGTTCCTGAATAAAAATGTTTACATTCGAATATAAAATTCTGAAAGATTTCTCATGAGAATGAAAATAAATGGTAGTAATGCATTCACCTCAAAGAGATTTTTGAAACTCTCAGGATTACAAATTGCAAAGCAGATGATGATGACATCACTAATCATCTATGAAAGTGTACGAATTCGATCATCATTTTCTTCTACCAATGTAACAATCCGAGTCAATTCAAACTGGCATAGATGAAGACAAATATTCGATTTTATACATTGAATAATACTAAAACTACTTTTTAATTATTGATCTTGATTTGATTCCAGTAGTGTAGTTATCGAATGTCAATTCAATACACTTATCAGACCATTATTTACCACCAATGGCTCGTTGTAAACAAAACTTGCCTTCAATTAATATTACAATAAAACAAAACAAGAAAGAACGAATAGTTATCACAACCAAAATCACCAATGATAACAACTTTTTTATTTAAATTCGGTTTTTTCATTTTCGTGCGACTCAATCACAATTGGATCTTATATCAATGAATCACTACTGTGCGCATGACTGCTTTTTGTACTTGCTTCATTTGTCGGAATTCAGACATTAGCTTGTACGATGTAATCATGCTTCTCGAAACTACAGAAAAATAACTTATTGAATAAATTGACTATACAAACAGTCTATAAAATAAATCATACTAAGTCAATTTAACAATGTCACGAATGAAATAAAATAAAAGCAAAAGTCTGAGCATGAATTGAACTTAATATTAACTTTTATTAAACTCGTGCACAAATCAATGGACAATTCAACAACCTTATACTTTAATACTGTTCGTTTTCTTTTTGTTCAGAATAAGATCAAAATAATTTATGACAAGTTTTCTTTTCGAATAAGAAATTCTTTTGGAATCTTAATTATTATCAAAATCAACCTTAAATCAATAACATTAGAATTTTAAAATTGTTACACAACGATTAATTTTTCTATTTATTCGATACTATTTTTTATTGATAAACATGCATACTACCACCATAAATATAACTTCGAATCCACTAATTTTAATATATAGTTATTAAGTAACTTCTCGGATCGAATCAATGCTTGCAATTTCATAGCCCAATACGTAGTTGCTTTTAAAAAAGTCAATGAGCAAAAATGAAGAATATGACGATATTTTTTGTCGAATAATAATCGAACATCCGATTCTAAGTTTTCTATATTCGTATTAATTACAAGATGTTGTAGATGTTGACATAAATTAATTAGCAATTGATTTACTTCTAATTTAGAGAATCCTATAATGGTCATATCTCTTATAGTATTGATATTGGAGAAGAATCGAAACTTTTCACTTTGTTCCATGATGTAATAATCGTTTCTATACTTTGGCATGGATAAGAATATCAATGTATGGATATTTGGCATGCAACATAATAGTTCAATCATTTCTATAAAAGAAAGATGACGACATTCGATGCTTAGTTTAGTGAGTTGTTTTAACGGAATGATATTTCTAAGAATAATTGAAAGTGAATCACAAGATGTAGTAAAAACATCGTCGATAGTCAGTTCATTGACATTTGGAAAATAATAATTACAATTGATTATTCCTTTTTTACTTTGAATATGAACATGATGAACGGACTTCAGATTATTTTCGCGAGTATTTGAACAAGTTTTTTTCTTCGGATTGTCCACATAACATGTAAGTATTTCTTCTGAAAAATTAAAATAATATACATATTGTAAGTAAAAATCTCGTGTATAGTTACCTATATGGATCTGTTGAGTAGAAAACTATATGGTCTGTATTGTTTGACTGATTATGTTGTTGTGCAAAAAACCATCGCCGTTCGGTCCAAAATGACGATGTGAACTTATTGATCTGAAGATCTGATATTGATTGATCAAAAAGGGAACTATTCCAGGAGGCATGCAGATAATTGAAACAATCTTCGTGTCGGATGTCAAATATACGTAAATTTGGTATATTTGATGATATCAGCTGTTCCCAATTCCTATTATCCATATGTGATGAATCTATAAAATGTTTTATTGTAATGCGCAAAACATAGACTGTAACGCAAAAGTCTATAATGAATTGTCTAAACTCATGAAAATTTATGTTCTTCAGTGTGAGAGAAACATGTGTTAAATGATTTAACACAAACGGACATATTTTTATTTGTTTATTATAAGGTCCTTCTAGTAAATGAATGGTAAGACGACGAAGTTGTGGTACATATGATAACAAATTAATCAGTTGATTGATGTTTATAATATTATTGATAACGAGATGTTCGATTGAACTGTACTGATTAGTAGCGATTGGTAATAGTTCTCGTGTCAAGCCGTTGTTCAGTGACAGCTGACAATATTTTAATGCAGGTAGACCAAATATTTGAAGATACAAAGCGTTAATATTTTTAATAGGATCGACCGAAAAGATAGTTAATGAAGTTAGAAAGGGTAGAGAAACTAATTGAAGAAGAAGTTTTTCCATGTATGTCGATTCAATTTGATCAAGAAAAAGTCTGTTAAGTTTAGATAATTTCGATATTATATGAGTCGGAGAAACGTTTCAATCATAAATCATAGGATTTGATATGCGAAAATAAGTAATTCGATGCATATTGGTTAGAATAATATCGTTATTGAAATGTTCCAAATTCGATTTTGATATGAACGAAAGATTGATTTTTATTGGAAAAGTTGAATTGACAAGTAGGTTACGAAATCGTATATTCAGATTGTAAAAAGCTTTATATGCATCATACATGTCCAAATATTCGAATATCTCATATAGAAGTTCATTACACAGGTCGTCAAAATTTGTAGAAATCGCTCTTGATAATATGAAAAATAAGAGTAAGTTATGAAAGAGAAAATTTTCTTACTTTTTCACGTTCCAGTTTGCTTTAACTGTTGTTACTAGAGAAAAAAAATGTGCAT